ATGAAGCCAGGAGACTGGAAAAGGAAAGCAAAGACATAGCGACCTCTGGTGATGGAAGGGAATGAAAGCTCCTACAAACAGATAATGCAAAAAACAAGAAATAAGCTTTATAGTAAACCTATTCTTTGAAACACAATGTTTTTTTTTTAACACACTGGCCATCTCCCACCAAGGCAGGGTGACCTGAAAAAGAAACACTTGCACCATCATTCACACTGTCTTGCCAGAGGCATGCAGATACAACAGTTTAGATGTACTTCCAAATAGCAAATATCCCAAACCCATCCTTTAGGGTGCAGGCATTGTTATGTCCCACCTCCAGGACTCAAGTCTGGCTAACCAGTATACACTTGTTCAATACAAGCCTCACTTCATATTAACCCTTGAACTGTACAAACAGATCTACGTTTTTTCGACATTTGAAAGTAGGTAAAAAAAGTAGATTTTTTTTTTTTACATTTGAAAAAGTAAAAAAATCTTTGATCTACATTTTTTTGGTTATATTTGAAAATATGTAAAAAAAACGTAGATCTACTTTTGGAGCACTACGCATGTAAACGTAGATCTGCTTGGACAGTTTAGGGGTTAAGACCCATTCTTGGAGCCTTCACCTTGTAAAATACAAAACTCTATAAACCATAAACATGCACTGACTGGTCTCTACATTGAGGTGAATGATCTATAACCAAAAATAATAAAAAAAAAAAGATCTTGTGTCACTAGTGGAACAAAGAACAGGAGAGTACATGATCATGACATGAAATACATCTTTTCATGGGGAAGTCTAACAGAATTCTTCCTCTGTGAGCCATGAGTGTCGTAAGAGGCGATTAAAATGCCAGGAGCAAGAGGCAAGTAACCCCTTCTCCTGTATAAATTAATAAATGTAAGAAGGAAAAAGAATTTTTTTTTTCTTTTCAGACCACCCTGCCTCGGTGGCATACGACTGGTGCATTGACCCCCCCCCCAAAAAAAAAAAAAAAATCAAGGCACATATTAGACAGGAGAGACTTTTCCAGATATGTGACAAGCACAAAAGGGCACAGCTGGGAATCATAGTCAAATAAGCTACAGGGACATCAGAAAACTCTTCTTGAATGTGTGTTTGGACTGAACAATGACATTGTGGAAGAATCTTCCAAGGGGTTAAGATACAGTATGGGTATGATAGGACTATGTTATCTCTGTTTGTCTAAAGTTAAGAGGTAGGACCAGGAGCTACACTCACCCCCACAAATACAAATAGGTAATAATAAAGGGAATTTTTAGGAGTGAAAAAAAATTAACACTAATAATCTGCAAGACAACTATCATAGGTAAATACGCTAAAAGTTTGTTACTTTTGTCCACATTACCATCATTAAACTGTCCAACCGTAGATCTACGTTTATTCATGTAGCGCTCCGAACGTAGATCTATGTTTACTCGCGTAGCGCTCCGAACGTAGATCTATGTTTACTCGCGTAGCGCTCCGAACGTAGATCTATGTTTCTTTTTTTACATTTGAAAGCATGTAAAATAAAACGCAGATCTACGTTCGGAGCACTACGCGAGTGAACGTAGATCTACGTTTGACAGTTTAAGGGTTAAACTCCTGCAAATCTTGGTCTAATTTAGTGACAAAAAAAATCCAAAATTCACAATCTAAAAGTAATGTGAAAAATAAATAAGAGCCTGGAGTCTACCTGGAGCCACTGAGAGAATAATAAAAAAAAAACTTTAATTGCTGAAAGGCCTTAAATATAATTTAGGTATGAATAACAGAATTTCCAACAAAAACTTGAAACAGTTTCTTGAAAATAATTTTTATTAAAACTAATTAAATGTCTTTGAAAGTCTACATTGTATACATATATACACAGGAGTAAAATTTCTATTTTTACATTACTCATTTTATAAAGGACTAAGTCCCCAGCAAGGATAAAAATGCCCACACACATTATATATGTCTCCCTGGCAGACCCTCTGTAACCTGTGGAGTTACTTTAAGTCTACGATATGTGAGAAGGAAATTAGATATCCCCAACTGACTGGTTAATTTGTAATTGTTACATTAAAAGAAGTATTAAACCTGTGTGGGTCAAACAGCGCTGGTTAATTTGTGAACCAGCTGGATTTTTATGACAAGCTAGTGGGGGCGCAGTCGTATTACCAAACTAGGATTAAACCAAATTAGTAACTAAGATCACTCCCCTCAGTGGAGATTCAGATGTTGCAACACTGGACCACTAGCCCGGTATGATAACTGACTAGCCCGGTATGATAACTGACTAGCCCGGTATGATAACTGACTAGCCTGGTATGATAACTGACTAGCCTGGTATGATAACTGATTAGCCTGGCATGATCACTGATCAGGCGCTTCACCCCCACAGTAGCGGAATGTCAGAGTTGCTGCAATGTGAACCCATTACACGAGATCCATCTAGATCCCCATTAAATAAACTACAATACCTGTATTCAAATTTTATCATAAAGTTGGTAGAATTACTGACAACATGTAAAGTAAAAGGACACAAGTGCAACTAATGTGACATTTTTATTGTGGCAACGTTTTGCTCTCCAGGAGCGAAACGTTGCCACAATAAAAATGTCACATTAGTTGCACCTGTGTCCTTTTACTTTACATACAAATTTTATCAACAATAATGCTTATTATAATCATAATTAAATGCTAAACCCAAATTTCAACAGTAATAAACAGCAAAAGTTTGTTAAATGTTTTATTATGAATTATATGCTGTAGTCTTTATTGGCCGACTTACAGAAACTAGCAAAGATGTCTGTGATAGTAATCCCTTAAAAAAATTGAACCATAACTGACAGTTTTACATATTTGTTTTACCAAGTTCTCCCAATATGTACATTATTTCATGGTATAAACCTTGGTAATAAATACCGACAAGTTGGTTTAGAAAGACACGTAAGCAAACAATATAATAAATATGTTATAGTGTTTGCTTACGTGTCTTTCTAAATCAACACTATTTCATAACTAATTTTTCCCCTTTTCATTGCATTATTTGGTATACTGTCTTCTGATATTTTAAAATGCATTATATCAATAAATAAAATAAAAGTAATTAATAAATCTGGGATGCAGCATAAAGTCACATTAATGATTAATAATTATGTAGATAACTAAGTAATTATGTAGATAACTAAGTTGTTTTGCTTCACTTATATTCACATAATCTAACACTAAACTTATTATCAGATAATTTTGTAAACGCCTAAAATATTATGAAAAGAATTGAAGAAAAGTGAGGATGTTGCAATCCAAGAGCACAAGTCTCTGTGTTAAGTGAGAAACCACGTGGGTAGAAAACTAAAATACGGGTAACAGTGATCCGTGTATTTCAGCCTCGAGCAGAGCCCCTCTTCGGCAGATGAAGAGCTAAAGGTCTAAATGAGGCAGCAATATACAGTCTCTTACCTCTATCAATCTTTTCTGTCAAACTGGTGTCACCCTTCACATCAGTATTTATAGTATTTTAATTGAAGCAGAGTTCTCTTCTATTTACAGCTTACAAGATGTTAGTACTGATTTATATTTCATAAAAGTTCTTCTGTGTTGCAAAAATTTGCCGCTGCAATTTTTTGCCAACATTTTTACTTGACATGAAAACCCAGCTACTGTACTGAAGTTCAGGACAGAGAGCCAAAGGTGTCATAACAAATGTGAGGGAGAGTATACTGCAAAGGTGTTATAACAAATGTGAGGGAGAGTATACTGCAAAGGTGTCATAACAGATGTGAGGGAGAGTATACTGCAAAGGTGTCATAACAGATGTGAGGGAGAGTATACTGCAAAGGTGTCATAACAGATGTGAGGGAGAGTATACTGCAAAGGTGTCATAACAGATGTGAGGGAGAGTATACTGCAAAGGTGTTATAACAGATGTGAGGGACTAAACTGCATAAGTGTCGTAACAGATATGAGGGAGAGTATACTACAAAGGTGTCAAAAGAGATGTGAGGGAGAGTATACTACACAAGGATGTGTCAATACTGTAAATGATATTTAACTTGGGGTTAACTTGTACACAAAGTTTTGATGCCGCTCCTCCTGCCAGACGCCTCATCCACAGTAAGGTTGAACCTCTCGTTTTCACTATCTACATCACAAAACTCATTAACTTCAATCACTAAGTCCAAGTGCTCCAAGTATACAACATATTTAACTATGCTATGTTATTTCCAATATACAAATTTTGAAATTATTTTACCCTTGCTGTGAAAACTACATTATAAAACAAACGTCTATCACTTGAAGATTCACTCCCAAGGAAATCAGCAAAGTATAGGTATGTAAATTTTTTGTATTTTAACAGAACAGCTTTTCCCACCAAGGTATGACTCCAAAAATGGTAATATACACCATCATTCAGGAGGGGTTCGGGATATTGGCAGTTTGGGGGGATATGTTGTGTATCTTTATATGTATATGCTTCTAGACTGTTGTATTCTGAGCACATCTGCAAAAACAGTGATAATGTGCGAGTGTGGTGAAAGTGTTGAATGATGAAAGTATTTTCTTTTTGGGGATTTTCTTTCTTTTTTGGGTCACCCTGCCTCGGTGGGAGACGGCCGACTTGTTGGAAAAAAAAAAAAAAAATTCAGTACACAGCTCTTTTGCCAGAAGTGCACAAGTATCACAATTCAAATGACTCTTTGAACTATAGCATCACTCTTCCTTTAGGGCACAGGCAATGTGCCTTCAAGGTACGAGACTGAAGTCCGCCTGATTGGTTACCCAGAATATCTTCATGTTGTTAGGTAAGACACATATGCAACAGTTAGGTATCTTTATTTCGAAACGTTTTGCCTACACAGTAGGCTTCTTCAGTCGAGTACAGAAAAGTTGATAGAAGCAGAAGAGACTTGAAGATGATGTAATCAGTCCATCACCCTTGAAGTTTTGAGGTGGTCAGTCCCTCAGTCTGGAGAAGAGTATTGTTCTATAGTCTGAAACAATATGGAGTTGAAGTGATAGGATGGAGCCTTATGTAGCGCCAGGAGGTACGAATGTAGACCTCCCAACGTCTACGTTCTTACCTCTACTAGTGACCTACGTCTCACCTCCTGGCGCTATATAAGGCTCCATCCTATCACTTCAACTCCCTATTGTTTCAGACTATAGAACAATACTCTTCTCCAGACTGAGGGACTGACCACCTCAAAACTTCAAGGGTGATGGACTGATTACATTGTCTTCAAGTCTCTTCTGCTTCTATCAACTTTTCTGTACTCGACTGAAGAAGCCTACTGTGTAGGCGAAACGTTTCAAAATAAAGATACCTAACTGTTGCATATGTGTCTTACCTAACAACCTGTTGGTATTTTATACCATTTTAATGTTCAATATCTTCATGTTGCGTTACATTCTAACAGCATATCAAACCATAAATACTACTCGTCTCCACTCACTCCAATCTAACGTGCTCACACAAGCCTGCTGGATGCTCAAACCCCTACCACTCAAAGCCACCTTTACCCTCCCTCTCTCCAACCCTTCCTGGAACAATTTTTCCATTCCAGATTCCTACATCCTGTCATCCTATTCTGTTCCATCCTCTCTAAATGCCTAAACCACCTCTACAGTCCCTCTGAATAATACCTATAGTAACTCCAGTCTTGTAATTTCTGTTCTCCAAATTATTATTCTTTTAAACCAATCGTATCCCACCGAAGCAGGGTGCCCCCCCCCCCCAAAAAAAAGCTTTTCTTTTTAACTTTAGTAATGTATACAGAAGGGGTTACTAGCCCCTTGCTCCTGGCATGTTAGTTGCCACTTACGGCACACATGGTTTTACACAAATAACCCGCACATATTGTGCCTTTCTGTTATCTACGCATGGCTTATGGATGAAGAATTCTGTTCCACTTCCCCATGCTCCAGATTATCTGCATAATATTCACAGCACAGATTGCTTTCAAACATGACATCTCTACTGCCTCTAGCCTCCTATCAAAGTAATGTTTAAAAACCAAACCTCACACTTATGTTGGTACTACTATACTCTGGAACACTACCCCTTTCGGTTCCATAGATAAATTTTTCTTTGCACAGATGCTTCAACAGACCACCTGCCTTTTATCCCTTGTCTAATCAGTGGTTAACTTCACCTGTCATGAATCCCTGTGCTGACATATATATCAACAAATTTACCAAACATCCTGCACTTAGGTCTCAGGAGAGAAACCTGAGGATGACTTCGGACCGAAATATCGCTTAAAGCATCCTCTCTCTTCTGACTGTGGGATTTTTGTGAAGTTTTCTAGCCAAGGAACTGTGGCTTTCTATTCATCTCTGGCAACAAATTTACATTGCACCAATCTGTCATAACAATCTAACTTCTCAAGATAAAATTTACATAATATAAAACAGCTTAACCTAAATGATCTATCAACAGGACGATCACGTGGGTGTATAAATCAAGTCTGGAAGGAAGAAGGGGGTAGAGATCATCTCAGGAAGGGTTGGAAGTTGAGAGTAAACACAGTCTTGAGTGCTAGGGGTTGGAGTATCCATCAAGCCTGTTAGATAAGACTGAGTTGGAGACTAGGTTTTTTGATGGCTTGATGTATTGCTGGAGCATTTATAAAAAAATTCAGGGAAACTGGTTAGCTGAACTTAAGTCCAATGGGTGAGTGCACACTGCCTGCACTCTGAAGGAAAGGTGATAGATGTTATAGGTCAGAGGATCATTTGAATTGTGATATTTGTGCACCTCTCACAAGACAGCTAATGCTTGTATGGCTTAACATGCTATTGGACTGTGAGAAAATTAACATATATGAAGGGATTTAAGGAAACCTGTTAGCTGGACTTCAATTCTATATGTGGAAGAACAGCGTCTGCACTCTGGGGGGGGGGGATGTTACAGTTCAGAGGGTTATTTGAATTGTTATATCTGTGCATTTCTGGAAAGACAGCTATTAAATAAAAGATGGAAAATGCATTTCTTCTTTTTGGGTCACCCTACCTTGGTAGGAAATGGCCAATGTGTTAAAAAAAAAAATCAAACAATTTGAATAAATATTTCAAGTTTTTCTTGAACAGCAAATCTTCCAATGACCTGAAAATACTGTATTCCCTACAAACTTGAATTCAGTGTAATACATTAATATTTTGAATGGGTGCTATTGAAAAAAAAAAACTCTACTAGCTGTACGGTTTCCAGCATCAATTTCTAAACTAAATGTTGTATATTAATTGCTCTAACATACAAGTAGTCTATATGTTCATTGGTCCAGATACACACACACGTCACACATACCACACATCAACAATAGAAAATGATGATTGTGTTGAAACAAGAAAATAAACCCATAAGGCTGGTAATCCTTGGCTGTATCTGACCAAGAAATGTGGAAATTTGACTTATGTCATTTGATTTTTAATGTTTTCATTATGGCATTTAGTGGCACAGTGTTCGTCAACAGCGCCTCAATTAGTACAGTACATTATAAACAGCGGCATCAATGATATGATAAAGGCAGCCATTATTTTTGTGATTACAATCAAAACTAAGCTCTAAACCCACAAGGGTAAAAGACAGCCATTGTTTGTGACATTTCCAGTTTTCTTGAAATGTTGTCGCATAAAATAGCTGTCTTTATTTTATTGTTGATCCTACTGTTTATTATAAGACTACGCTTTACATGTACTAAATCAATTGCGTAGTACATTACTATTACAATCAGAAACGGCGCCAAACCCGTAAGGGTTGTTCAGCGCTGTGATTAGTAGAGATTTCTCCCTTACCCCACTGTACAAGAGACTAGTAACAAAGCAAGCAGCAACAATGATACATACCAATAATAGTAAACAGCTACATAGTAACCGTTTTAATCAAGAAACAAGAGAAGGGTGGTCACCATGTTCATGAGGGGCTGCCTAATAATTTCTGCTTAAAATATAAGTTGTATATACCAGTGATTCACTTTTCTTTCTTTTGCTTCTTTAACTAAACCACCTACACGACCTCTGACCTCCAGGTTTACGATAAATTTAAATGTGCACACAAAAACTTTTACATATACAGCATATGGTATATGTAGTTACATCTTTCAGGTGGGAAGCCAAGGTCAGAAGATACTGATACATATACGTACTATCAGTAATAATGTCTGACTTGTGTATCACAACCAATTAAGGTTGCAAGATATGACTTCTTAAGTAAAAGGATACAAGTGCAACTAATGCAACATTTTATTGGTGCAATGTTTTACACTTCAGGAGCTTTGTTGAGCTGTAATGGCTTGACAAAGCTCCAATGAAGCAAAACATTGCCACAACAAATATTAGTTGCATATGTATCCTCTTACCTAACAAATTGTAGGTAATTCTACCAACATTAATACAAGATTTGGCTTCTTTTCTTTGCACAGTGAGATTTTTATTATCAGTAAACACTGTCTTCATATTTGCATTATTAGTTTTAAGATACCTACTAGTTAATAAACCTAGAGGTCATTGCCCCATGCCTGGAGTCTACCTTGAGTGACAAAAAAAAGGCACAATACCGTGACTGGAACAATACACAAATAACCCGCACATAAAAGAGAGAAGCTTATGACGACGTTTCAGTACGACTTGGACCATTTACAAAGTCACACTGAGTGACTTTGTAAATGTCCAAGTTGGACCGAAACGTCGTCATAAGCTTCTCTCTTTTATGTGCGGGTTATTTGTGTATCTACCTTGAGTGTGTTTCAGGAATCAACGCCCACAAGGCCTGGTCCATGACCATGCCTTGTGGTGGCACAGGGCCTGATCCTTTATCTGGCCACCTTTGTCTGACAGTGCCGAGAATTTTTTCTTTCCTCACAGCCTGGCCTAGGGCTAGAGTTTTCTGAAGTCTATTCAACTAACTGCTGCTGTCAGCAGTCCACTTTCCCACATATACTTCACAGCCTGACTGATCTGGCACTTAGTGGCTGGTTGAAAAATCTAAACAGTTAGGCTATTGATGCTGGCAGCACAGTCTGAGGGCTGTGATGTTTATGCTGGACTGTGTGCACTTCATCAACAACACAACTGATTGACACATCAACCAGAAGGCCAGAACCAGGTCGCAGGGGCGATGCTCCACAAACAACTAGCAGCTAGTTAAAAAGAACTTTAATAATGCATCCTGCAAGACAGTGTTTAGCAATAACATGCATCTTAGGTTCCAAATCTTGTACAACACAAAAAGTGTGAATTTAATGCCACAAAATTAATACAACATATAACCTCAAAATGTGTGACTAACTATTGATAATAACTAAGCAGGCAACCCCTATGAAACAAAATGATACGACCCAATCACTAGCTTTAGTATTAATCAAGTACGAATATATACACAATTGACCTATAAGATACTTATAAAATGGTTGAAGATACTGTATATATATTCCAGTTATAAATATTAGTATATAAACAATGCCAATACACTGGCAGATACTGTATATAGTGGCTAAAAATATCCATAATTCGTATCATTTTGTAAATAAACTCTATACCCAGTCACAGACTGCCACCGTCCACATCGTTCACGATCTACTTTCATGACGAGTATAATGTACACATTTTTTTCACTTTCGATGTTTAATGACATACGAAGTACATCTGAAGAAGATTTTAAATACAGTAGTACTGTACAGTAATTGCTAGGTTTAAGGCCTATTAGTTATGTTTAGGTCCTATTTAAAGTACTACAAGAGGGTCATTCAGAAAAAAATATATTACCGTACTATGGTGCTAACCATACGAACATCACATACTAACAAATTTATCATTTCATTGATATTAAAGTTAACATAGATCATTCACAATTCATCTACTTAATCAGTGTCAAGTGTCTAAAAGACTCTCCTCATCATTTTCACCCACTAATTCAGGTTTTTCCTCTTTCATATCCTCGACATCCTGACTTTCCTCATCACCCTCATGGTCAAGTTGAGATTGCTTGTCTTCAACAGGTTTTATTGGGATTTCTGGTTTTTCTTCTTTGCTGCTTTTAGAATCAAGATACTGTTGCACACTGCTGTATCCCATTTTCCCCAGTCTCTGCACTATCTGACCAACTGCTTGTTGTCCAAATGCCTTTCGACACAGTGAGCAGTTACATATCCCTCTACATACAGGACAACACCAATCAGGATCCAGCAATGCCTTACGAGCATCTTCACCATATCGTGTACGTAAGCAAGGGCCACAGAAAAACCCTCTTAAGCCTACACACTTCCCAGACCTGCATATAGTTTTTGTATCTGATGTTTTTTGTCGGCACTGGTGACAGGACGTTCCATTTTCCTGATCGTGTGTTTTTTCCTTTGGTTTCGTTGCAACACGGTTCAGCATTTCTTCAGTGACCTCTTCTGGCTTTAAGATGTGCTCAATCTTTCTACGAACACATGGAGTGCTCTTTCGCTTTTTCCTGGAACCATCTGTCACTTTGCCTGATTTGCGAGTCTTTGTCTTGGTCGTCTTAGGCGTGACCTGTAAATTTTCTTTGATGCCTTCTGCACCACTCTGCTCCAAAAACCAGTCCATCCAAGCCTTGGGCGATTTAGGAGCCTTAGGCGAGACATTTGAGGCAGAGTCTTTTTCTTTCGATGAACCTGAAGATTTAGTGGATGATCTGGGTTTTTTCCGAGGACGATCTCTGTTCCCTTTGATGAGGCACTGGGCTAATATGGACGAGGTTAGACTCCCCACATCATCCTGAAAAATCGACAAGATGGATTTACTCACAACGGTCCAGATCATATTCCCTCCAATTCTTAAATTTACTAAAATTCTCCCACTGAAGCATGGACAAGGACAAAGCAGGTAAGCGACTCTAATGTCCTCTCAATTTCTGAGGTATTCCAGGCCAGTGTCATGTTAAAGCAAGCCCATAGTGTGTTGGTAAATCCATCTTGCCTTTCTACAGTAATATATGTCACAAGAAAACCTGTGCATTTGACACAATTTCCAATGAAGGTTCTCATGAGATACCTTCATTAGACATTTTTTCATTGTATCTGGTGAGCTAATTCCGTCCAACATACTGAAAAGGTCAACTAGTTATAAGCCTTTACAAAGTCCATCAGATATACAGTCATTTCTTCAGAGAAAAGATTTATCAAGCCCTCACAGAGTAACAAAAATTTATTCACACATATGATTACAAAAATTACTTCAAAATATCAAATGAACATTAACACAGTACACAAGAACAAGTATATAAACTACATACACTTAACAGGAAAAACAACACAATGAAACTTTACCAGCTTCTCTATAGAAACAATATCTTCAATCTGTCTATTTACAGTAACTTCGATTTCTTGTTGTCTGTTAAATATCTGTCAATGTTTAGGGAAAGAAGATGCACAGGCAAAATATTCTCCAGCCATACCAAATTCTTTTAAATGCTCGACTCCTGAAGGATTCTTGGATATATCTGACAAAACTATACAGTGGTACCCCGAGTTTCAGCCATAAGTTGTTCCAGAAGGCTGCTCAAGTGCCGTTACCGAATGAATTTGTGCCCATCAGGAATAACGTAAATTAGATTAATCCATTTCAGACGCCCCAAAAATACACTTACAAAAGCACTTACAAAAATACACTTACATAACTGTTTGAGTTGGGAGCTGTTCAAAACTCGGGATACCACTGCGTAATGTTTCGGCAAATGGGAAAAAAATAAGTAACAATACCATGACTGTAACAACTGACAACTAACCCATTCTTACCAGAGGAAACCACAGATGATGTTTAGTTCTGTTCTGGCCCCTTATTGAATGACTTGACAATGTTGCACAACTGACCGAAAAGTCAACCATGGTTTCCTCTTGAAAGTGTACAAGTTATATGCAATAGTCTGGCTAACTTGTCCTCTATACCTTCAATTAAACTGTTACATTATATCCAGCTAGTAAAACATTATACACAAATAAATACCACACGGAGACAGAAATACAAGAGATTGATCGAGCTGTATACTTCAACCATCTTCTAAGATCCTCTTCGGGTTCTGCTGAAGAGGATCCCAGAAGGGGTTCAAAATATACCCAAAAGGGGGTCAAAATATACCCAGAAGAGGGTCAAAATATACCCAGAAAAGGGGGGGGGTCAAAATATACCCAGAAAAAGGGGGGGGTCGAAATATACCCAGAAAGGGGGGGTCGAAATATACCCAGAAAAGGGGGGGGGGTCGAAATATACCCAGAAAAGGGGGGGGGTCGAAATATACCCAGAAAAGGGGGGGGGTCGAAATATACCCAGAAAGGGGGGGGGGTCGAAATATACCCAGAAAGGGGGGGGTCGAAATATACCCAGAAAGGGGGGGGGGTCGAAATATACCCAGAAAGGGGGGGGTCGAAATATACCCAGAAAGGGGGGGGGGGGTCGAAATATACCCAGAAAGGGGGGGGTCGAAATATACCCAGAAGGGGGTCGCAATATATAGATCCATCAATCTCCTGCGCTTCTGTCTCCATGTGGGTTATTACTGAGCTTTAACAATTGTTTATTACATTTTATTCAAATAAAATATGCTTAAAGATCATATGTCATATAGGAATAACATTTTCCTTACAATATTTAATTTAGGTTAAATTAGGTATATGTTAGCAGACAATGTGTCGCCACCAATCTAACATAACCTAGCTTAAAAACTGTGGGTTAAAATGTTAGTCGTACATGAAATTCATCTAATGTGTGAAGCAATCTTTTCATGGACTATTAACTACGAATAATACTTTACTTGCTGGACATTACGTATTATTATTATTATTAGTCATGAGTGCTAAACCCACTGGGGTCATACAGCACTTATGGAATAGTAGGTGATCAGCCATGATCCCTTCACCAGTCATGATAATAAGGGGAGACTATCACTGTAAAGCAGCAGCACAACTGGCGGAGAGAATAAGGAATGCTTTTCGGTGACAACATGTAACGAAGGAAGCATTAAAAGATATCAAAGCAAAAAAAAAAAAAAAAAAAAAAATTTCTAAAGGGAACAATAGCACAACGGATAATCGTGTTTTAAGCATATTCGCAGATTAAAGTTTCTTTAACTATTCTTTTAATTTTTTTTTATTTCAAAACACCGTCTCTCACCGAAAAATAAAAATAATGCACTTTCATAAAGTTTTTCTTTTTCTTACATTTAGTAACTTATACAGGAGAAGGGGTTACTAGCCCCCTGCTCCTGGTATTTTACTAGCCTCTTATGACACACACGGCTTACGCAAAGACTCTTTCCCCGCTTCCACATGGATTGTTCTCTTGACTCAAGAAATCGTAATGACACGATTGCAAATAAACCATACCCCCGGCTGCTGGAGATTCGTCTGTAAAAACTTGCATTTGTGGTCACAGAGGTGCCTGTGCTAACTTTCCTATGGTGTAGAAATATACCTAGTTGGATGAATCTTATTGTGGCTAGCTGGTCTAGTGGCTAACGCGACGGTCTGGAGTTTTGAGACTCTATGACCGCGGGTTCAATCCCGATCGGGGTATGGTGGGATTGTTCTCTTATTATATACAGTATTTCTTATATAATAAAGGCAGCAGCCAAGGCTAAGAAGCTCTACTGAGAAAAAAGAAGCCTTCCATGTATGCTTTATGTGGTCCACTCACACCTGTCCATTATTGCAACACTGAACATTTTTACACACATAATTTTTCCACACTGAGTATCTCCCATCAAAGTTGGACGATCCAAAGAAAACACATTCAACATTACTTATTCTCTAGTTTTCTAAAAGTGCACTAACATCATGCTTTTAATGACCCTTCAAACTGTAGCATTTACACCCATCCTTTAAGGGTGCAAGCTCTGCAATTCACTACCAAAACTGCAACATCCTAATTCAGGCAATGTATTTCCCACTACCTGAACTGCAACATCCCAACTCTTCAGACTGCACTTCCCACTACCAGAACTGCAATATTCCCACTCTTCAGACTGCACTTCCCACTACCAGAACTGCAATATTCCCACTCTTCAGAATGCACTTCCCACTACCAGAACTGCAATATTCCCACTCTTCAGACTGCACTTCCCACTACCAGAACTGCAATATTCCCACTCTTCAGATTACACTTCCCACCACCAGGATGGCAACATTCCTACTCCTTCAGAGAGACTACACTTCCCACTACCAGAATTGCAACATCCTAATCCAGGCAATGTACCTTCTACTACCCAAACTAAAATCAGGTTAGCTGATTTCCCTGAATCCCCACACAAAGTTATTGTACCACGTCCACACAAGTGCTGCCTACATTATCAGCATATTATTACTGGTGTTAACAGATTACATTAAAAACTCATGCTACGGTTACACACACACACACAATGTATATTACATATACATTAGTTGAGAAGCTTGAAAGTATGTAATGGAATAAATTTAAAGTTAATGAAGAAAAAGACTTAGATAATGAAAAGTAGACGTATAGCAAAAGAAAACTAGATATTAGATTAGCATGCAGGAACGTGGATACAGTGATACTAATTTTCACTGTTTTTCATGATATTATGAGGGTTTGAATCACGTACAGAGTTCTTTTGCTTTAAGGAAGTTCACTTTATGTAAATCTACTATTATGTAGGTGTCCCATATGAACACCTGTATAAGGAGAAAAAAAAAAATAGTCTTACCATATTTCTCGAATAATACAATACAGGTATAACCAAGAACGACTGGTCATGGTTTAGGTCTTACCATATTTCTCGAATAATACAATACAGATATAACCAAGAACGACTGGTCATGGTTTAGGTCTTACCATATTTCTCGAATAATACAATACAGGTGTAACCAAGAACGACTGGTCATGGTTTAGGTCTTACCATATTTCTCGAATAATACAATACAGGTATAACCAAGAACGACTGGTCATGGTTTAGGTCTTACCATATTTCTCGAATAATACAATACAGGTATAACCAAGAACGATCTGGTCATGGTTTAGGTCTACCATATTTCTCGAATAATACAATACAGGTATAACCAAGAACGACTGGTCATGGTTTAGGTCTTACCATATTTCTCGAATAATACAATACAGGTGTAACCAAGAACGACTGGTCATGGTTTAGGTCGTACCATATTTCTCGAATAATACAATACAGGTATAACCAAGAACGACTGGTCATGGTTTAGGTCTTACCATATTTCTCGAATAATACAATACAGGTATAAAAAAGAACGACTGGTCATGGTTTAGGTCTTACCATATTTCTCGAATAATACAATACAGGTATAACCAAGGACGACTGGTCATGGTTTAGGTCTTACCATATTTCTCGAATAATACAATACAGGTATAACCAAGAACGACTGGTCATGGTTTAGGTCTTACCATATTTCTCGAATAATACAATACAGGTATAACCCAGAACGACTGGTCATGGTTTAGGTCTTACCATATTTCTCGAATAATACAATACAGGTATAACCAAGAACAACTGGTCATGGTTTAGGTCTTACCATATTTCTCGAATAATACAATACAGGTATAACCAAGAACGACTGGTCATGGTTTAGGGGCTTATCATATTTCTCGAATAATACAATACAGATATAACCAAGAACGACTGGTCATGGTTTAGGTCTTACCATATTTCTCGAATAATACAATACAGGTATAACCAAGGACGACTGGTCATGGTTTAGGTCTTACCATATTTCTCGAATAATACAATACAGGTATAACCA